TAGTTCACGGTCACATAAGAAAAGCAGTCACGATTAAGTATTTGTGAAGCGTGAGTACGTATAGGGTTAAACCTGCCAGACGTTGATCTGGGAGCGGTTTGACGGCTATACCCTATAGTAAACACAGAGTAGTAGATTTCCCCACGACGGCCATTGTTGCATTTTCCGGTACCTATTTAGAATTCAGCTTTCGAACATTATCCTTATCTTAACGACCTTGTGCGTTTTGCGCTATTTATGAAACACACCACAGTGCCTTTAGTGTTATTCGTCAAGTAAATAGAGTCATGGATAAGTAAACACTTAATTGCGATGGTGTAAGGTATGATGAAATGAATGTTGCATGAGGTGGGAAGTGAAAGCATACTAGTATTTATGTTGTCTCGGCATTGTGACTGCCAGCTATAAGTACGTTTAATGTACAAATTAGTGTGACGTATAAGATGTAAGGTGTAAGGTATAATTAAGGTATACAATGTAAGGTGTAGGATATAAGATGTAAGGTGTAAGTACAAGGTATATAATGTAAGCTAGGTGTAAGGTATAAGGTATTCAATGTAAGCTAGGTGTAAGGTATAAGGTATACAATGTAAGGTGTAGGATATAAGGTGTGAGGTGTGAGTATAAGGTATTAAGGTATTAAGGTGGGGGGTACAAGGTGTGAGATGTGAGTATATATGAGTATATGGTATAAGGTATAAGTATAAGGTATAAGGTGTGAGTATATGAGTATATGGTATAAGGTATATGGTATATGGTATAATGTATATATATATTTATTTATTTATTTATGTGTGTTACAGTGTGACTGCCGGGTGGACGATCTGTATGAAGACCTTAGGAATGGACACAGTCTCATCATGCTCATCCAGGTGCTGTCAGGAGACCAGCTGGTGAGTACCACACACATGCGGCAGACTGAGACTGATGCTGAGATTGAGACAGAGTCAGAGGTGTAGACTGAGGCTTAGACTGAAGCCTAGCCTGAGACTGATACCAAGAGCTAGACGATAACCGAAGCCAAGGCCTATGTCAGAACCATAGAAATAACGTGCTAGTGAGATGTATACTAGATAGGCGTGTTTCTATATCTATATATTTCTATGGCCTGAACGAACCCAGACTAATGCTTCTGGAGAATAAACTCAGACCTGGGGTGAGTCTGAGAGAAGTTCAAGCTGAGACCTAAATTGAGACTTGCACTGAGACTGAGACTGAGACTAACATAGACTGAGATTGATTCTGAGACTGACATAAACTAGGACTGAGCCCTTATACTTGATATAGACTGAGACAGAGGCCCGGATAGTTGATGTTTGTGTAGCCAAGCTATAGACGACGCACTAGAATCATGATTTATTGTAATCCAAAAGCAGATGGCCGATCCAAAGCAGACAGTCAAAACATGATCGGCTAGAAAACAAATTCAAAACCTGCCACAACAACGCAATTGTTTTTCGTCGATTAATAACATACGTACGTGAGCGCAAAATCCACACAGGAAATCCCTCACTAAATAACACACCCCCCCCTCGCCCCACCGCCATCTCCCCCTCGCGTGCTAACTCTAGACTTGCGAAGACGCGCATCCACGCACTCGATTCCCTACGCGAAATTCCGTGGCCGCAAAACCGCAGACGAGCGATCATTTCTCAATAGCCTTCAGATAATAATATAACTCTTAACGATCAACCACTGTTAGCCTGACCCGCAAGTCCCCGTTGCTGCGTCGACGAGGGGGTGCGTGATGGAGCAGCGTCGACGTGCGGTGTCAGTCTAGGAAACGGCATCCTGGCGTGGGTTTTGCACGCTGCCGATGAGGGCCGCTGGGCAGGGTGGTGTGTGCGGCCGGAGACGTGCGGGGCGCGGTGACCGCCCGCAGGTAATATAGATTAATCGCACTGTTAATGGATGAGTCAATCGCCCACGCGCTCTCACCTGGGCTAACGACCTGAGGCGCGGACCTCTGGCGAGAATGTAAGCGAAGACACTAGCTAGATGTACAGGCGACGACACAACGAGGACACATAGCGAGACCACCACAGCGCGACACTAGCTAGCATGTAAGGCGAGACACAGCGAGATCACAAGCGAGACACTAAAGCGAGACACTAGCTGGAGATGTAAGCGAAACTTGCACCACAAGCGAGATGTAAGCGAGACACTCCCAGCTTAGAGTGTAAGCGAGACACTAGCAGAGATGTAAGCGAAGACACTAACCGAGACACAAAAGCGAGACACTAGCTAAGATTGAAGCGAGACACACCGCACCAACCAAGGCGAGACAGCCGCTAGCTAGATGTAAGCGAGACACAGAGTCGAGACACAAGCGAAGGACAACTAGCGAGATGATAGGCGAGACAGGCTAGGCTGAGATGTGGAGCGAGACACGAGGCGCAGAATGTAAGCGAGGACAACATAGCTAGATGGTAAGGCGAGACACTAGTGGAGATGTACGAGCCGGAGAGCACCTAGCGAGACAACAAGCGAGGACGAGCTAGCGAGGATGTAAGCAGAGACACTAGCGCAGACACAAGCGAGATGTAAGCGAGACACTAGCGAGATGTACAGCGAGACACAGAGCGAGATCGTAAGGCCGAAAAACTACTAGCTAAGATTTACAGCGAGACACCTAGCGAGATGTAAGCCGAGACACCTAGCGAGATGTAAGCAGACCACAAGCGCACCGATGTAAGCGCGACCGTCTGCGAGATGTAAGCAAGACACCTAGCTAGATGTAAGCGAGCACACCTAGCGAGACACAACGAGACACTCCCAGCGAGGATGTAAAGCGAGTACACTACGGAGATGTAAGCGAGACACAAAGGGCGAGACTGTAAGCGAGACACTAGCGAGATGTAAGCGAGGACACAACGAGATGTAAGCGAGACACTAGGCGAGATGTAACCGCGAACACAGTAGCGGATGTAAGCGCGACTTCTGCGAGATGTATAGCAAGAACAACTAGCTAGATGTAAGCGAGACACCCAAGCGAGACACAAGCGAGACCCAATACTAGATGTAAGCGAGACACAACAACGAGCGACAAGCGAGAGCCAGCTAGGCGAGATGTAAGGCGAGACACTACGATGATGTAAGCGAGACACCTACGAGAATGTAAGCGAGAACAGCTAGGCTAGTATTAAAGCGAGAACAAGCGAGATGTAAGCGAGACACTACTAGATGTAAGACGAGACACTAGCGAGATGTAAGTGAGACACCCAAGGCGAGACACGTCAAGCCTAGAGCACTCAGCATACGATGTAAGCGACGACACAAGCGAGACAACTAGCGAGACTGTAAGCGAGACACTAACCAGCGAATAAGCGAGACACAAGCGAGATTGTAAGTCGCAGACGACCTAGCTAGATGTAAAGGCCCAGTCATCACATACACACGCAACGGCCCGCGCACACCTGAAAATTCAATCAAAAAAATGGAAACATAGATCACTGCGTCGTTGTGCCCACCAAAACTTTGTCAGGAATTTGGGAGAAGCTAGCGAGTTGCGACACGGGCTTCGCCAACACTCTGCTCGAAACGAATGCACAGCGTGGTTGCTAGCCCGCGCTGCGCGTATACAGGGCGCATACAGAGCGTATATCAGAGCAGCACCATGTTAAAAAATCCAACGAATGCCACACGCGTGTTGCTACGCACGGAACG